GTCACTTATGTGGATGTTCTTTACCTAACATACTTTGCTGACTTTGAGCTGATCCATGAGTACAACTGGAGCCTGTTGTTTGTTTACCTATACTCTAAATTAATTGAAGGTTGTATGTGGAAGACCAGACATAAGACAAGCAGTTGCACACTGTTCACAGTAATATATTTTCATCTTTTAGTGTTTGTGTGTCATTTTCATGCCACTTGTGTTATGTCATTACTAATTATTCATATGTACCATTTTCAGGCATGAATCCTCAAACACTTCCCACACATATCTGGATGGTCATGTATTTCGACCTATACTAAGGATATGCCACGTGCTTCTGCATTTATCCTACTCGGAGAGAATTAGCAGATAGGGTCATTCATAGTGTATCTTGACTGCTTGGTAGTAGAGGATATACACTTCCAGACGTACATAGATCACCATGAGACATACCCCTTATAGGATATAGAGTTCTACTTTAGATAGTTGGATTATGGATCACATATGATGTATCTACATCTTCCTAAGCGCGTCATGCGAAAACTCGGCTACATGCAGATTGTTTCTTGAGAACCTTATGAGTCTGCTCCTCCCACTATGACACGAAGAGATGTCGGAGCCATGTATGATGATTACCTTAATCATCTGGTACCGGATGAGACACGTGGTACATTAGATTTTAGTGATTGAAGTGTTGCATACGGCTACATCCAGTGGTATTTTAGAGTCTCACATCCTTATATGATAATGGATGCTCTAGGAGATCTGTTTGGTCTGATTCACAAAACTATGTTAAAGCTAGAATGTCACATGCAAGTATACATATTTTGATTGCAGCAAGTAATAAGTATAAGAGTATCATACCCACGGGGAGTAAATTCTACTTAGAATTGACTTTGTAAAAACTCTATTCTTTCAAATTAAGCATGAGTGAAGAAATAATAATATTGATGGTAACAAGTTCGGTGTTACTTAAAACAAGACTACAAGTAGTATGGAATGGAGTGAAAGTATAATAAGACTGATTGAGTTAAGCATAGATTCGTTAATGTCATTGGTGCATTTATCTGTTAATGTTGTGTGGAGTTGTGACAGGCAAGGTCAGAATGATCTTGTGGTGTATTTTTACAACATTCAAAACACGCATACAAGTGCAAAGGAACATATCTCTAAGTCTCACTTATAACCCAAATATACGTCTTTTAGTAAATCTGAATTCCTTAATGATTGTAGTTTCTTATCTTTAAGTAAACTAGGTCAAGTGAGTATATCTATCCTACTTTTTCTACCATTTTTACTCATGAAATACACTTGTTGTTGGATCTCTCTCAACACTAAGTTGTTACCTATTTCTAAGTTGTTCAATCAAAGAAATAAGTTTTTGACAAATAAACACATCATAAAATAAGCACTAACCACACAACATATAACATAAACACATTTTAATATTAACTTCACTTATCTCAACTACAAAGATTTTAGCTCATGGTGAGCTGAGTACAAACAACAAGCAAGGTTCTTACAATAAACATCTCAAGACAAATGAATGGCGGAATATATAAACCTAAGAGAGGACTTGAAGGACTCCTTGGGATGGATAATCTTAAGGAGGCGACTTCAATCACGCCACTGCCCATCAGTTAGCATCAGAATGGATGAGGAAAGAATACTCTCTCACACTTCACTATCCAAGCACTTAAATTCTTTGTAAATATTTTCTTTGAATAGCAAAACCCCTTCTCCCTTCAGATTTGTTCTCTATTTATAGGCTAGGAATTTGTATTGGTGTCTTGTATTGGATCTTGGACTTGAGCTTATGAAGTCACATCCAGCCCATACGGGATTGCGCCAAAGCACACCATCAGCTGCTTAGCAAGCAAGGAACTCGTACAAATGGGGAAAAAGTGAGTGACAAGGTAGAGTGTGGCAGGATCCCACAACAAGTGCAGGCGACGCGATCTGATCACAACAGAGTACGGATGTACCCGTTTTTTTCTTCTAGCCCCTCCACTACCAACTTTAAATTTGAATAATCTTTATGCTCTTTTTCTGTACCACCAAGCTTACTCTCCATTTATTATTTCCTTCCGCGCTTCCCTCAATAGCCAGCAGCCTCTTTTATCACATTCCCTTTTCCCAATATTTCTTTTCATGATGCCAGCTTACGCTACATGCAGTAGTCCACTGTAGTCTTGCCGATGCTTGCCGCTATTAACCTTTGATCATACAAAAACACAAATAAATGATGAAAAAGGAAGCACCTATTGTACTCCACACTAAACACTAATTTAACTACAAAATTCAAGAAATTAAACAATAAAGCATTTAAAATACTAAAAACATTAAAACACAAAGCCATGTATTAACTCACAAAAAATGTGTTAACATGATCCATCTAGGCCAGCTCATCGGGAGATACTAGAGGAAAGGCAGAATAAGGCAGATCATGTTGATGATGTTGTTGCCTAGATATCGTTGTATCATGGAGCTTGGGCAGACAGGTATAAACAAATGAGTTTTTCCTGATGGATTAGAGGTGAGGGACATTCTAGATGTCGTCATGGAAGAGGCACGGGCAATATTCTAGTACAAGAGGCAGCGTAGGAACAAAGGCATTCGAGTCTTGCATACGCAGTAATATATAATATTTGTATTATAGCACTATTATTGATGTACTTTATTTTGACTTCGTTGTGGATTACGAATTTATTCATTTATATATGCTATTTTTATATTATTTGATTAGTGTATAATTTAATTTATATAAAATTGTATATGATAGTATAGTTATAATGCATCATCAATTAAATCAGTGTATCTCTAAAAAAAAGTAAAAAATTATTGTTTGTTGTAAATACAGAAATGCATCTCTAAATTTTGTCTTGTGTGAACACGGAGATGCATTTTCTGATCAATTTATGTCAAATGAGAGTGTTTCAGTGAAAAATGCATGGATTGTGTATGGAGTAGATTCGGATATACATCTTCGAACTAATTTTTAGGAAACATATGAGATGAGATTCACTTTAAAACGTGTTTTGATGTGGAAAAAAGTGTGTTCAAAAATACATTTTCAAAATGGACATTTTTGAATTTTTGTATAGTATTTTTCCACATCGGATAAACAATTCCCTAAGTATGTTACTAACTCGACTCACTTACTCTGACAAATTGTTAATATCTTGACCATTAAGAATGTCATATCATCTCATATTGAAACCCTTAAGCATTTTATCCTTAAGTCATATGTTTGGGATTATTGATTGTCATGAATATTTTACTATCTCAACCATCTTCCACCATATCGACACATAATTCCTTTGGACCCGTGATCTCGTTGGTAACTCTTCCATTACCAGAAAACTTCTTTCTCTATAAAAAGAGAAGCAAACCTCCTTGAAAAAGAACTTATCCCTAAGAATAAAAGTACCAAACCTCTATTACGACTCACTGCCAAACAAAGTCTAACAGTAAAATGTTAGCCAAGAGCAATAACTACTTCAGATATCACTGAATTAAGAACCAAATTTATGATCCGATGAACCCTATAATTTAATTCAAACAAACTATTTTTTTTTTTAAGTAAAAGTGAACCAAATTAATCATAATTGACCTTAATTTGCTCAAGTATTTATTTGCATCATTCAAAATCAATCATCTGTAAACTAAATCATACCAGAATATATTGCTATTTATTTTATTTAACACTATTTTAATAGTATTATTTTTAAAGAAATGTTCTGTTAACGTTTGTTTGCTAGTTATATTTTTTTTTTATATCTAATTGTTTTAATAGTATAAAAGTACCCTAATTGGTTTAATTCATTCGACTATTGCAAGACTAGAATTGTCAAACCTCCTTTGCCAACAGAAAAAAGGAAATTAATTAAGAGAATTTCTTTTCCCATCCAATAATAGTTTTCTAACGCATCACGCAAAGTTACAAAAATACTCTTAGAAATCAAAAATACATTTTTGAAACGCATTAAGATTTGATAAAATGTAGACTGAAACCGGAATTTAATTTCCAGTTTGTACCCGAACTTACATTTCGGTTCTGCTTTTACCTTTTGAATAGAATAGAATCACATTTAATCTGTTTATGTGCAGTGCATAGTGCGCACCGGAAAAAGAAATTCTCTTAATTAATGCCTAAACTAGTCTGGCTCTTTCCATGTTTGAAGTAAAAAAGATATATATTGTTGGTTTGATACAATGTTACCTAAAACCTACATTGACTAGCTTTGCATTGCACCGATGCCTCTAAACAAATGTGTGATCGGTGTCTAACACGTGCCAGTGTTCGACCCCGACACATATACTTACATTCAATTTATTCATATTTTCAAATTACTACTAGTGTTGATGTGTCGGTGTCCGGTATCTAGTCGCGGCTTCATAGTTGACAAGATACGACAACAATTAAATGAGATCAACAACAATTAAATGAGATACAAGTCAATACAAGTTTATAAAATTCAAAATTCTGACGAGGTTTTTACATAGAAGATCATTGAAGTTAAGAAAAAACAGAAATTATTAATTGTAAATAACACTACATTCTCACATTCTTTCGGTAAGGAAACTATTTCATCTCTGACAGAAAAGCAGCAACAGATAACAGATTGATAAAAGGGATGGTGCAAGAAAATAAGTATTGAAAATAAATACATCATGAATGACTTAAACTAGCAGCAGCCTTCAATAACTTCTTAATTAGAAAGGAATTACATGCAACAGTATTGATTCAAAACAATTGACTTATCCATAATTTCATATACAAACATTTGCACAAGGGAGATTACAAGAAACAAAATTGATGAAAGAAATTATTACTAGGTAGGCACTACAACATAATATGATGGAAGGAAGCCAAAGGTAAATATCCTTACATGCTACCTGGATTAGGGTCCTAAGTGAAACAGACAAGACTTCAAACCCTTCCATAGCCCGTATTAGTGGTATCCTCTATAAAGTGGTACAACCATGCAAAGAAAGATTTTAAATCATCAATTCACAACACCGGTACTTTCTTCTGTGTCTGGTCCTGTATCCAAATATAAGAAGCAAACGGGTTAGAAACTTATGACTCAAACCCATCATAACCCCTTCCACAATAATAAGCAACTTCAAAGGTGCATAATGAATGAGCAATTTAAGTTTAACCCAACTACGGATTTGAATGTCAAATCTATACATAAATGCAGAATACAAAAACAACAACGACGACAACCAAGCCTTATTCCACTAAATGGGATCGGCTATATTAGATCAACTTCCGGCATAATGTTCTATCCAAGACCATGCTTCTAACCATATAGATAAAAGAATTCTTACAGTTATCTATATCATCATAATATAAAGGAATTCTCAAGAGTAACTATCAATTTGTATTACACATTTCTCCGCATAAACTTTCCCTTACATAGTTTTTTTCTTCTAAATTTAAATGTCAAAACATACAACATGAAAATTGAACCTTAAATTTGTATAAAATCATATCATATAGATTTATGAAACTGAAACAATCAAGTTAAATTGAACTAAACATTCAACAATGCCTCTTGTAACAACAATCATTTACCTTCTTGGCCATCCTCTACTACTTGTTCTACAATGTCACCCTCTTCTTCATCATAGTCACCATCATCTTGTTCACTAAACCCATACCTGCCATTCAAATAATCCACAGCACCCGGTGTAAGCACAATCTTATCAGCATTCAAAATATCATACAAATTCAGCGTCCTGGGCGTCAATATCTTCAAACTCCCAATATTCCTACTAGCAAGCAACACATTCTCCGAAACCTCCGTCATCAGAAATGTAGCCTTCTCCGTCGGATCCAGCCCCCATCTCTTCATAGCCGCAATGAAATCCTTCGTCTTCGGACTCTCCTCAAACTCCGCTCCGAATTCCTCCACCACAACAGTATTCACAGCCGCACTCGCCACCGCAGTCGATATCGCAAGCCTCTTCTCCTTCTTGTTAATCTTGATACTCCAGTCACGCGGCTTCGGACCAAAAATCACACCTCCGCCAGGTCGGAGCGGGGTACGGATAGAACCCTGACGTGCTCGGCCGGTTTTCTTTTGACCGTAGGGCTTTCGGCCACCACCTCTGACTTCGGCGCGGGTTAGTGTGGAAGCGGTGCCGCGACGCTTGTTTTGGAGGTCGTGGATAATGGCGCGGTGGACGACGGCGCGGGAGGTGTCTGGTGCGGCGGATTTGATGTCGAGGGTGGCTTCGCCGATTTTTTCGCCGGAGAATGAGAGGAGCGGAAGCGTGGCGAGTTTGGAAGAGATTGAGAGAGAAGTTGAATTTGAATTTGGGAGGAATTTGAATTTGGAGTGAGTTAGGGTTTTTGATGGGTTAGAGATGAAGATTGAAGAAGAGAAAAAAGAGAGAGAAGTTGAAGTTGGTGTTAGTGTGGAGAGTGAAGCCATTTTGAGTTCAGTGAAAAATACTTAGAACTTGCTTGTGCTCTCTATCTTCTTTTCTTCTATTCTATCCTATCCTTTCAAAGTTGATTGGTTTTGGTAATGTTTTTATTTCTTCTGCTCTCTCTTTTTCCTCAAATAAAATTATTTAAATTCAAGGTGTTAAAAAGGTTACACGACACTACACTACATAGCATGGACACATGATTTTTGAACTTCAATTTTTTTTCTTACATTTTGTGTATTCTTCTTACATTTTGTGTATTCTTCTCTATGTTATGCGAGTACATGTGAAAAACTAAATAAAACTGTTAGAAATATCTCTTTAAATTTTAAGTGAAAAATATCAGACATTTTAAAATTTCTGGTAGTTTATATTTTTCTTTTTTCTCTTTTATTAATTGTTTCAGTGAGGATCAAGAGTAAAGATGGTTCTATTGTGGATAGGGTGGCCAATCGAGCGGAAGCTCAAGCCTGAGCTGACGAGACACGGGCTTTTGAGTCATAGACTGGATGATATGCTATGACTGGTTCTCATCAGAAACGGTTGACTAAGCAGCAAACGCAGTTCCGTGCACCCCATCGTCGGGGACTTAGAGATTCTACTGTCGAGGAGGTACATGCTTCTACTTCTGTGGATGTGTCTATTCCCGAGCAAACTATTGAGGAGGTTGTGCCTGTTGTGGAGCCGATTTTTGAGCAGGTTGTGGAACCCATTTCTGAGCAGGTTGTGGAGTCAGTTGTTGAGCAAGTTATTGAGGAGGTAGTTAAGCAGGTTGTGGCTAAGGGTGTTGATAAGGTGTCCCCCACTGATACAGATACCACGACTCGTGCATCTACAGAGTCATCAGTTCACACTGATGGAGCCTTTCAGGAGGACCTTCAGACAGGTCTGTACAAGATATGGTATGGCGAGGTATATATTTTAATTGGTTGATGTATAATATTTTTTTGACTTAATGACACTTTTGGTCCTTGCATTTTGACCTACTCGCGAAATTGGTCCTTCCTTTTTAAAACAGAACAAAGTAATCCATATACTATCTTGTTGATTGCAATTTAGTCATAAAGTCCATATTTTCCTCCAAAAATGTTGATGTGTCAAAATTTTAAGTGATGTGGCCAAAATAACACATATGTGGCAATGCAAATTTAAAAATGTTAATTATAAATTCATCAAATTTATTTTTAAAATGGGACAAAATATTAAAACATAAACAAAAATTTGTTTCTTTTGCTCTCTTTCTTCCCAAACATTACTTTGTTTCTCTTGGAACTGATGTGCTTATTGTTCTTCTTCCTCTGTCATTCATCATATCACCCTTTAACATAAAACTCTGCCCAAAACTGAAACCACTGCTTCCCAATCTTATAAAAATTCTTCTTCCACCTTCACTTTTTCTCTTCTTCTTCTTCGTTTTTCTTCCACCGACCAACCGAAGAAGCATTGAAATGAAACTGATCTTGAACCAAACTATTCAATCTTCATCGCTTTTCTCTATTTAAATATAGATTCTTTTTTACTCATCAGTATACCCCTTTCAAGCCCATTTTCATAACAAACTCTTGATTTTCTCAATTTTGCGAATTTCCCTTGTTGTTGTTTCTTGCAATAGTGAAAAGGTTTGAAACTTTTTAAAAGGGTTGATCAGAAATGGTGTCAGCTAATGATCCAGTTGAGTCTTTCTTCAATTCCGTCCAAGTTATGAAGGAATTGTTGTCACCACTTGAACTGAGTTTTCGAAAGGCAACGAAAGATTTTGAGCATTGTTTTGCATGTGCAAAGAACATTATGCATGGTGTTCGTTTAATTGCCAAAGTGAAAGATGGTGGTGAGTTTCAGATCTGTGATGTCAAGAAAAAAGGGTTGTCAATGAAGGTTCCTTTGAAGGCTTTCTTGAGTATATTTCCAAAGATTCAAGGAATGTAAATAAAACTCAAGTTGTTAAGGAAAATGAGTCTTCTTGCACTAATTGCTTGCAGTTTTCGGTGACTTGGTCTTTGTTGGTTAATGGGTTTATTCTGTCTTTTCTGATTCATTTTATAAATGGGAAGAAGAGGTTACAAAAAGTGTGTGATGAGGATAGTAATAAGGAGAAGTATTTGTGCATGAAGCAAAAATATCAATTTTGTATGTTGAAGAAGAAGATAACTGGAGATGAAATGGGAGAAAGAAGAAGGAGCTACGCGAAAACGATGAACATGGTTTGGGATTTAGGGATTCATTTCAATTAAATATTAATTTTTCTTTTAAATTTTTTTTGTTTTAATTTCTGAATTCATATATTTTTATTTTTAAATAAAATATTATGGTTTTAATGACATGTAAATGCCTAGTGGATGAGTTCATTTGACACACCAGCATTTTTGGAGGGGGATATGGGTTTTAGGACTAAATTGCAATCAATAAGATAGTATAAGGACTACTTTGTTTAATTTTAAAAAGGAATGACCAATTTCGTGAGTTGGACAGAGGATCAAAAATGTCATTAAGCTTATATTATTTTTTTGCAAGTGTTTGAAAGTTGATGTATAATTTTTTTTTTCTTCTAACAGGAGTGTCCAGTGTTGAAGGTCGCTTCCCATGGTTCAAAGTTGAAGAACTTCCCAAAGGGTGGCATGCCTGAGGAGGTCAGTAGTATTAATAGAGATTTTCAGCTTCTGGAGTTCACTCAGTTCTCCTTGATCATGTTGGACGCCTCCTTATTGTCTACTTTTGTTGAGAGGTGGCACCCAGAGACATCATCATTTCATCTTCCATTTAGGGAGAGGATGGTCACATTGGATGATGTCGATGCCCTCTTTCATATCCCTATCGCTGGTACATTCTTCACATCTCCTCATATTAACCATGTGACGGTGGTGCACATGGTTGTGGATGATTTAGAGTTCTGAGGTGATGATTCTGGAGGAGTCTGGCTTTAATAAGGGATATCACTTTCATATGTCTTGGCTTAGAGAGAGGTACGGGGAGCATGTGAAGGCCCAAAAGGTACCAGGATGCCGATAGGGCGTACATGTTACATCTAGTGACATGTATTCTCTTTGCATACAATTCTGTAGTTTACATCGATGTTCATTACCTGTCTCTGTTCACCATCCTTGACACTTCTTATTGGGCTTGGGGAGTCGCAGTATTGACGATGTTGTACACGGTACTTGGAGTTGCTACTCAGCCTGAGACCAGATAATTGGTTGGTTACCTTAGCCTTGTTCAGGTATGCTAATATTTATTTGATGGTTTTTATTATTTATTTGGGTGTAGTTATTTGATTATTTTTATTTATGCAGTGTTGGATATACAAGCACTTCCCCTACATTTGTGATCGGAAGATCTAGTGTGTCCCGGCTACTGTACCATGTGCGAGGAGATGAAAGGGCAAGCAAGCCCTTCCTGGAGGTTTGATGGAGTATCGGAGGAGGCTTGACGCTTTGATCTTAGAGGATGTCGTCTAGATACCATATACATCTCATCGGCCTCATTGTGCATTTGACGAATCTTCTTTGTATTCAAGGCATCTTAGGTGGGAGAACCATATGACTAGACACTTGTCTTAGTGGTGTATATGACGATATGGTTATATTCATGGAATCCCTCATTCAGTTCATGTGGCTCCAGTTGGTGACATTGATAAATGGTTTCAGAGTCACATCATCATCTATTTCTGTGAGATCAATGAGAGATCAGTTGTAGTGCAACATCCTTGATAGTGCAAGGATGGATACCTGGAGTGGTATCGCAGATTATCACACCCTTGGATCATACCACCGACTGCAACATCTGATGTTCCAGGGCCTTCACACGCTAGGATTTATGCCGAGCCGCCACCACCACCTCCACCACCTACAGATGATCAAAACAGCCGCCTACAGTTTATTATAGTTCATTTAGATAACCTCATGGGTTTGGTAAACCCTGATGGTGATATTTATACAGGTTTAGCTAGATTTATCGATGTAGCCCATGGAGGGCCTATGTAGATCTATTTTATTTTGGTTGTATTATATGTATATTTTGTGACACAAGGACTTCTTATTTATTTCATAATATTTTGGCGATTATATGCTTTGAATCGATGATGAACATAACATAAAATAGTACAACAAACAAAAACTAAAAACAACTAAACATGAAAACCTAGGCATTATCGGATGATTTTGGACATTTCAACATCTTTATCATGTCGTTGACAGATCTCTGCATCCAACTCGATCGGACCTTTTGTTATCCTACAGGGAAACGATTTCCACATGGCATTCACATCTTTATCGGTCTTCAACTCAATCAGGTTGTATTTCACCCTTCCATTTGTTTCAATCCAATCTTCCCGAAACTTGATCTTTTCACCTTTCTGTTATCGGAATCAGGCAATAATGCATTCAAAGTTTCTTTCAACGTGTCAAGGGATGTGCTGCCATATGGAAGCTTGAATTCAACAGCAGGATTGTTTCTGTTGTAATATACTTCCGCCTTAATCAGAAATTGAGGAAAAGACATTGTTTGAGATGTTTTTCTTTGTAGAATATGCCCATATTTATACAAATGGTGATGCATTCTAGACCATACAAATTTTTAGTTGCAATCAGGACCCTCCAAAGATGTCGATAAAATATAGATCGTTGAAAAAATTTGAATAAAGAACTACCGGAAATTTCAGTATAACTCAAATTTCCAGTACTACCTAGTAAATTTGAAATTTCTGGAATACTAGAATTTTCAAATACACTACCGGAAATTTACATAAACCGAAAATTTTGTAGGGGTTTTCCGGAAATTTTGCATGTACTGGAAATTTCTAACCCTATACCAAAAGTTTATCCAGAAATTGTTTGTAACTCAACAAGGATAATTATGGAATAATTAAAGTTGGGGGTGCCATGTTTAATTTGGGGGTGACATGTTAAATCTTCGGACAATTTTAAACTTGTTTATAGATCTGTTTATTAATGGGTCATATTTTGGACCCGTTAATATTTTGTTAGTTATAAATGAGTTTTCTCTCATT